GGACGGCCAGCTCTAGTAAGGGTTCTGGTCGTCCCAAACGTCTTCCATTAAAGGATTATGGAGGGCCCTGTGCTCTTAGGAACCTTAAGTGCAGCAGATTTTTTTTTTGTAACCTTGGCCAGATCTGTGCCTTGCCACAATTCTGTCTGAGCTCTTCAGGCAGTTCCTTTGACCTCATGATTCTCATTTGCTCTGACATGCACTGTGAGCTGTAGGGTCTTATATAGACAGGTGTGTGGCTTTCCTAATCATGTCCAATCAGTATAATCAAACACAGCTAGACTCAAGATAAGGTGTAGAACCATCTCAGGGATGATCAGAAGAAATGGACAGCACCTAAGTTAAATATATGAGTGTCACAGCAAAGGGTCTGAATACTTATGACCATGTGATATTTCAGTTTTTCTTTTTTAATAAATCTGCAAAAATGTCAAAAATTCTGTGTTTTTCTGTCAATATGGGGTGCTGTGTGTACATTGATGAGGAAAAAAATGAACTTAAATGATTTTAGCATATGGCTGCAATATAACAAAGAGTGAAAAATTTAAGGGGGTCTGAATACTTTCCGTACCCACTGTATAGGAATGCTAATAATATTTTCATGCAACTTTTAGCAAGAAAGCCAATGTGCATATTCCCTAAAATGCTGGCCCATTCTTTTAAACTAAATAAGTATCAGCTAAATTAATAAACTGAATGTCCAAAGTAAAAAAAGTAAAAATCATGCGTGTTTGTTTCTTTGGATTTCTGCCACAGTAGTTTACAGTAACCTGAAAGCAAATGAGAAAAAAAGTGAGAGGTGGGAACCAGAGTAGCCTTACAACGCTCAGCAGGTCCCCAGGCACAATTGGCTGGAGACCTGCCAACAACTTACATTCCTCCTTTCTTTTTTGTGATGGGGGTCTGGGGTGGCAGAGGGGAGCTGGCCAAGACTGGCACAGAAACTCTGTGCAGAATTGGTAAGAAAGAAGCAGGTAAAAAGGAATCAGACAGGTGAGAAATAGGTAAGGAAAAGAGGAAGAAGAGAGAACACAGGTGGGAGGGAGAACACACCAACCCTCCCACCAGATTACTCCTCCCTTGTCCTCATTGTCTCCTGCTGTGTATGTGATCAACTGGAGGGAGGTGCTCAGCTGGGAACAGAGAGAGAGAGACAGAGCTCTGAGGACACACACAACACGAGAGAAATGGAAGTCTGACCAGAGCTGGAATAGGGTATTTTGTGCTGTAAGTGCTAGACACAGGAATTGCAGGTCTCGAGGGCTCCCGTGGCACATCAGTCTTAGCTGGGTTGAGCTGGGCTGGTAGTCCAATCTCTCCCTTTTATGCTCATGAGCATGACAGAGGTAGAGTGAGAAAAAACATATTTAGAGAAGGACAACAGCGTGTCTAATCACATACTGTACTGGGACAGCCAACAGGGTGGTGTTTTATGTGAGGGGTTGACTTTTGGCTTGACCCACTCATGATGGGATCTTCTGTGGAGTTAGTCTGTGCACTGCTAGTGATTTATACTCTGGGAAAGAACCATTTGGTGTCTGGTGGTTGTTCTGGAAAATGCTGCCGGGGCAGAGACATGAGCTGTTTCACCACCGACTGGAGGATGGACCGGGTCTATGGGACATGCTACTGTGACGAGAGCTGCATCAGGACCAAGGACTGCTGCTTCGATTACTTCACAGTTTGCCCAGGTGAGCAATGAATGGAGGGCTGACTGAGTGTGGATAAATCGCTATTGTTTTGCACAATGTGAGCTAACCTGTCATATAAGTTGAACTTTAGGTAAAGATGATCTTTTGAGTCTGTTTATCAGATAGAAGATATGTGAGCGTATACATACCAACATTTCCTACACATGCAAAATCCTTTGTGCATATTTTTTCCTTCCCCTTCTAACTTGCGTAGTGCTCCAAGTACAATGTCAGCATTCCTTTTCTTCTGTGACATACTCTGTCATAGCTGTTACATCACAAATACAGTGATCACCAGTGACCACACCAAATAACCCAGGCAGCTTTGTATCTAACCTCGGTTCACTGGACTGGCCCACATAATGAAATTAGTACAAATATTTGAGGAATATGACTTTGCCAGTCACTTGTAGCAATTACAGTTCCAGTCAAACAAACGGATCATACCTGATATGTCCTATAAGCTACTAGTCACTAAATCTGAATCCTTATACTGTACATAAAAGCTTGATCATCAAGCACAGGCAGCAACTGAAAAGAGATGCTTAAATTGGATGGGTTGCCAACTTGGTGTAGTAGAGCAGAGAACACTAATGCTTCACTGATCTCAAGTTATTTCCTAGATATGCATCTTCATTACATTGTTTCATAGGCAATTTATGCATCCTGCAAGATCACAGCAAACTTTTGCTGCTGGTGAGAAATGATCAGTTGTATGCTAAATTGAAGGAGTCAGTTTTAGGTCCAACATCTCTGTGTTTCACCGCAGTCTGATGTGCTACCACAGAGCAAATCCTGCAATAATGTTTCTCTACCAAATGGTCATGAACATCCAGGTCAGGACTGTGCCATGAATGACTGGAGCTTTTGGAGCGGCTGCACCAAGTTCTGCCAGCCTTCAGTCCGAGTCCGAGTTCGTCGCATAGAGCAGGAGCCCACTAACAGTGGTGAACCCTGTCCTAGCTTGGAGGAGAATGCTGGCTGCATGGAGTACAGGGACCACCAGGGCAACCACTGTGGACTCGACTCAGGTGTACAGACGCACATATTTATTATTTTAATCTAGTGTTTAGTTGCTCTTTACTGTGCTTTTTATATGTATTTTATTCCCCAATTTGTTGCATTTGTAAATTTAATACAATTTTGTGACTTGATTAAGGCTAAACTGTAACTAATAGAAGCACTAAATTGGTTTCTCTCATGAGGCCCCGCATTCATCACCAGTGTGGAGTTTGGCAAGGCCAGGCCCAAGCATGACAGTTATGGAAACCCTCTGGACCCTGGGTAGGTTTGATATCATCTTCCTATGATGCCTACCGAAATACTCTGAAATTCCACATGGCCTCAATTTTGTTTTTAAATTCAAGAGTTGAAAAGTTTATTTTAGTTCAGTTGAACTCATTTTAACATTATGCCATTTGACCCAAACCGCTGAAAAAGAAAGCAGCCCAGCTTTTCTTCACCCACATCAGCTACTGTACCAGTAGTGTTTGCTCACCTGGATGTCTGTCCACAGACCATTAAATATAACAATGCTGAGGGACTACCCACTACCCTTTGAAATGAAATGCTCAGACTTTAATAAGGACTTTGACATGAAAAGTGCATGCACAATAGATCTGAATGACAGATTATCTATAGTTTGAATTATTGCCATTTCAAAGGGTGCACCAATAATGCAAACAGTATCACAAACTGGGTGATGATGTTCTTCTATTGTATAGGCTACTTGAAGAGTTCACTTTAGTTCTTTCTCATGATTCACTGGTTATAATATCCCAGAAATGACTGTGTGATCCTCTTGATCCTGCACCCCTCAGTTTCTGTGTGGAATTTACACTGGAGTCCAGGACTCCCCACTGTACAGTGGAGAACAGGCCACACACACTTTGGATGCGTTACATAGCAGAAGGCTTTAAAGTGTGTGTCACATGTGAACCTCCAGCTATTCGAAACAACAGCAGAAGCTGCCAAGGAGATGGTCAGGAATCAAGCAAGTATGACACTATTAACTTCTTTAAATGGTAGACTATATGTAAAGCACTAGCCAATGCATAGTCTTAACCAAGACACATCTGGGCAGAATGTTTCCTTCAGTTACACTTAACATGCTCTTGAGCAACTGCAGCAAATTAAAGAAAATAATGTTGACAGTTCGTACTGCTCAGACGTGAATGTGTGAATCTTTGCATGTGCGACTGTGTTGCAGAGAAGCTTTGCTCCACTGGCAGGCAGTGGGAAACCCTCAGTGCCGTGGGACATGGAAGAAGATTCAGAAAACTCAGCAGTGCAGCTGTCCACCACAACACAGCTTTGTCTTCATCTGATTCAGACAAAACACCACTAAACGGTGCTGGAACCTGGTTTCTACAGTGCCCTAGTGAGTGGAATGGAAATAATGAGATTCCCCAAAATGCTGATAATTTGATAAATAAAACAAATGCTATGAATTTCCAAAGCAAAACAGAGAAAATGATGCCTGTAGTATCTGGATTTCAGTTAGGCTACAGGAGCCTGGAAGACAGTGAGAAAAGGGGCAGAGGTGAGAGTCAGTGGGTGACTTAGCATGGCATCCCTTAACACACTTTGAGCACCTATCACAGTAGAGTTTGTATATTTGTATTGCAAAAAACCACTGTTGTATTCATTCTTGTAACAATTTTGTCAAAGAATATTTTACTTCAAAGTTTAAAATGGCAGTATTTCATGTTTTTGAATGTATTATGCATTTATTAATTTACCCCACCACCCCCCACCCACCACCACCACCACCACATTCACCACCACATTCACCACTTATTGTTCTATGTTGACCGCCCTCTGGTGGTATATTCATTTAAATTCAACCCAAACCATAGATAGCAGTGATGCTTGCTCACATTAACTCAAAATAAAACATTAGACACCTTTATACATTTGGCATTATATCATGTAAAAAGGAGCAGTAGAGCAGTAAAACAATTCTTTTCCTTTCATTTGTTTGGACAGTCTCTTAGCTTTTGTTCATTGTCAAAAATACAGTATGTTTTAAATATAGTGTTGGTAAATGTAGTTCTACATTTTAAGAAAACAATGAAAAGCTATCTTACATCTGATAATATCAAAATACATGTTTTTTTCTCTTAACATAAATAGCAAAAGTAGAGGGAAAATAAAAACTAACATTTTGACTTGAGCTGGGAGTTTCTGCTGTTTCTGTGGACGTGCAATAGACGTGCTACCCCCATATATGCCAAAAAAGATATTTCTTTTTGCAAATAAACATTTAAATACTTATTTTTACTGATAATATGATATTCACCTTTTTCCTGGTAAATAGAGTCTATTGTTTAATACAAAACAAAAGTAGATTATATGCAGATTTTCAGTAAATACAACATGTTGAAATTCCTACTTTGTTTTCTTCTCAGAAATAACTGTCATGTTACAATAACAAATTCACAGAGAGAGTGCTGGGATAGCACAAGCACACAGTCAAGACTATGTTTGTGGGTTCTGGGTATCTTGTGTGCAGAAGCTTCAACCTTCTTAATCTCTTTGTTTTATTTTAGCAAAATCACCATTGCAATAGTTTGTCAAGTTATGCAGCCTTTTATCATTTTGAAGCCTACACACCAGAAACAACAGAAATGAGTCTTTACAGGTAATAGGAGTGGCACAGTTGTGCAGTGGTTATTACTGCTGCCTCACCGTTGGTTGGAGCCTTTCTATGTGGAATTTGTATATTTTCCTCATGTCTTTTACATTTATAAAGATTCAAAAACTATAATTAATTTTTTTCTTGCTAAAAGGTATAATAGGAAAAAACAGGCCAAATATAATTATCTTATCATTTATTTTAATGGGGCTAAAAGGGATCATTAAATCCATATAACATGCAGACTTTTATTACTGTCTCCTTGAGGGTCCTCTTGTCTGCTTTGCTTTCCCCCATAAACTTTATGGTAATTAATGGTAGATTTTTGTAGCGGTGAAAGATCCAACCATGGCAGATTTGAGACTGGGAGAGAGGCTAAAAATTCAAGAAGAAGAAGAAATTCACACACAGTGAAGGGGAAAAAAAGTAATACAGTTTCACATGGCACCTTTTAGGAATTATGTCCTTTAGAGGGTGTAAGTTTATTGTTATTCTGAGTTAACAGCTGAACCTTAACAGAAAAAAATACAGACATTCTCATCCACCTATTATATATTGAAATCTGTTATGTGATAGCTGCTGTGATTATAATCCTCTGACACAATGGATGTTTGTAATAGATACTATCATTATAAGACATTACAATACATTAGTATACTGCATTATGTGCTCCTTCGGTTTTTCATATTGAAGGCATTACGTGCCAGAGCCTCTGCTTTTGAGGTTTGGGAGTGCTGTTTATATGTTCAGCATCATGGCTTGGAAGCAGTGCCCAACAGAAAGGTGGGGCTCCATTAATTGCACCTAATGGATTGGAATACATTTCCCTGCAGTGATAAATCATTTATCAGCCAGTAATGCTGGATTGATTGAGTGCTGAGTTGTCTGTACTTTTGGATATGGGGAGAAAAAAAACTTTGCATGTTTTCTTGCAGAAAATGCATTATGAGCTTTATTGTGTAGAGATGATTTATAAACTGATATATTTGTATTTTATATAATGTTACTAACATGCAAAAAAAGCATTGAGAAAATTAAAATGTGGCCAGCAAAGATCAGCTCATTTGTAGAGTAGAGTCACAAACACATGTTTTATTTACACATTTATTTGTTATTCTGCATATGCTAATAGACGTAATGGGGAACAATGCTCTACAGAAATGTTGACATACATGTACCATGACGAAGTATTGTGTGGTCACATAATTGTTCGGACTACTACATGCATACAAAGATGATACTTTGCACAAAACACAGTCTGTAGCTCAGAATGTGTCTAATGATAATGTTCTCTGAAGCTGAACAAAGAAAAAAAACTGTCAAAAACCAAAAAATATAAGAGGCAGAGTACTCAGAGACATACTGTAAGAAGAAACAATGTAGCGTTATGCATTTTTAGGAGCAAGGTTTAGTAAGCAAGCATGAGTGACACGAACAACGCCCATTCTCTCAAAGAAAATACAGACACAACCTTTCCACTCTGTACAGTATCATAGATGATAATGCCATTGCGAGACAGTAAGATATAGCATGGTACTTTTGCTCCACACAAACCACACAAACAGCTTCTCAAGGGGATAGAGCTGATCAATCCAAACCCTTTGTTTATCTACCCAATACCTCTCAAAATGAAGGATTACTCAAAGCTAGCATAGAGGCTTTATTAAAACAAATAAGGGATGGAAGAAAATTTGAGCACACAGAGACAGATAAAAATACCTTTAGCAAGATCATCATGTAACCTTCCATCATATAGAAAAAAGACTAATGAAAACCTTAAACAATAACCACCACTCACCCTGCATTTGGACTTTGGGGAGTAACAAAAAACATGTTTCCAATGAGGGACTGATCACATGCACTCAAATGTAGCTCTGATTACTCAGTCAAATTATTGTGTATAGACAGTATGTACATAGATAAGAAAAGACCACAACAGATGTAATGCAACTGTTTGGGAAGACTTTTTCCTAGCATTTCATTTATCCGTTGATCACTACTCAGGGTTAGATCCTCTGAAGCTGTAGGGATGGGAGCACTCTGGTCTTATGGGACATGGGAATTAATCAGATGGATCGATTCAGTGATAGTAGGGGTCTCTTCCTATGTGGTCATTCAGATCCATCACTCTCTTTCTGTCTGTTTCACAGCTCTAATGGTCCAATGTTTGTTTGTGCTCCTCCCTGCCTCACCAAAGACTGATGGGGGTGGATACTGAATGTGATACATAGAGTACCCAGGAGGAGGGAGAAACATTGCCACTCCTTACTCTGGGAACCAAGACATCAATGTGGTTTTGACAACATCACCTTTCAAGAAGGACAGAAGTAACAGGTTGACATTAGCTGTTAAAGAAAAATCCAAGATATAGAAAACCTGAGAACTTAATAATATTACTTGTATCTATTACATAAAGACCTGATTTCTCCTATAAAATTAGAATTTTCTGTACAGTGCTATATGAATAAAGAAAAATGACTTGCTACCTTGTCATAAACAGCAGTGTTATGAAAAGGCATGCATCATTTCAACCACCATATGGCGGGAAGTTGTGGTCGTACTCCATTTTTGTTTAGAAAAAATAGAATCATTCTCAATGTTAATTCACAAAAACATAAAATCCATTTGTGTGTGGCAATTCAAATTAGATTAGCTTAATATCTTCCACAGACATTTCTTAGATTCTTTTGTAAATCTAGCAGCAGTATAAAAGGCCCAAAGTGGTCAATTTGGATCTCTTTTCTCACAGATAATGTCCATTAATATCTGGCATTAAGGTGCTTGAAAGCCACATAATATGAAAAGTAAATTCTCATTTGCAGTGTTTGTGAGATTCTGATAGTTGTAATACTGGTTTGCCTGTTATTAAAGATATGACATTTGAAAAATACAAGTAATTTCTGCCTGTACAAACTCCCACAGACAGAAAATAAAGTGCCACAATTCTTGGCCTGCATAGATTGCAGTATGCGGTATTGCACCTTCCACACATCTATGTGACAACAACAAACATGACAATAATAAGAAAAAGAATGAATTCATCCGAATACCTTCTGCCAATACCAAACTGGCTTGTGTGGCGTTCACAAACACATTTCTACCTCACTCAGCCAAGTGCCATGCTTAAAAAAAAAAAAAAAAAAAAAAAAAAAAAAAATCCAGCAATAAAATTGGAATAAAAGGCAACATATAACAAATATTTTCAGTCAGTGTAAAACTAAAGCGAGAGAGAAGATGAGGAAAAAACTCCTTTGGGTTTAAGCTTGACTGAAAATAGTACTGTTCACAATTAAACACAATAAATTATATTCCAACACACTAGGGATATACAGTATAAAAAAGATGCCTTAAATTTGTCAGCAGGATTGGATAACCTTGCAGTAGTATGGAACAAATGTCAACAGCAACATTAGGGCACTGAAGATATGATACAGTGCAGGTAAACAGATCATAAGGAAATTAAATAAAAAACATAACTGCTGTCATTATGCATGTTTTTACCTTATATGTCATTATGCAGTTATTATGCAGATACATGAAAGCTTGTGCTTGATTTGGTCCATTGATATCACAAGGAATATTGTATTTTTTTCTTTTTTTCGGTAGTCTGTCCATTTTTAATTGCCAAAATAGACAATGTAAAGCTTATATATGTATTGATGACCAGATCTACTGTGCTGAATTAATAAATAGTCTTAACTGTGTCTGTAGAATCTCACTTACCTACTGTAGAAATTTTTTTACATCTAATTAACCTAATTAAACTGCACAAAAAGTATTTTCAACAGCGGTGGTATCTGATTGTTCCTGTTCTTACTTACAGTTACATATGTATGTATTTGGCAACTAACAGGTGTAAGCGCTATAGAGGAATCAAGGTGTCTTTGTCCTTACTCATGTTCATTAACTCAGAGGCTGAATATCAGATGCTTAAAATGAAAGTTCAGCAGTTGCTGTGAAAACCAAAAGCATAAATGTCAATGTTACGGTTTCATACACAGTATTTCACGCAAAATAACATTACAAGGTTACCATGGGAACACTTTGCATTTCCACAAAAGTTAATGATATGTTTTTTTATAGGTCGCTACGATGCATTACCCAGTTTGAGGGCTCTCGATTCAACCATCCCCACCCCTCCATTTTCACATTACAAATATTTGTACCTTCGGTGACATTTTTCCTTTGCATTGTCGTTGTCTTAAATGTTCTAGTATTTACAGTGAAGCACTTTCAGCAAACTAAGCACCGTAAAATATCTGTCATTGTTAAATGCATGCTTTTTACAGATACGTCCTTCTGAGATTCCTTCTTTTGTTATAAAAAGGAGACTGTCATTTTGTACATTGGGAGGACCAGGATGTCTACACTAGTAGATGAATTCCTTTAGTTTTTTCTCAAGAGCCTCCTTTTTGAGCCTGCTGTTTGTCCAAAGGTCATTCTACACTAAGTATAGTGGTTTCTTTTTCAACCATA